GACCAGGACCAGGACCAGGACCAGGACCAGGACCAGGACCAGGAATCTATGATAATATATGGTAATCTTTGACAACTATACAGTTCATTTACTACCTGAATTGTTTTAAATAATGTAGGACTAGTGTAGGACTAATGTAAGCATCACTTTGTGAAAGGCGTAAGTAAAGGACTGACTTACGCTTGAGAGATCTTAAAAGACTCGTTTTCCCTGCACGCGACTGACCAACCAGCATTACTGGAACAAGGAGGTTTTTGGTTTTGCCACTGTCCAGTGCCATTTGATAAGCTCTCTGCGCTCTTGGACCCCGTGCAAGAATCTCAGGTGGTGCTGCAGTAGACAGATGGAAGATGAAAAGACACTGGTCATGTATTACTTTCATCTTACCTTAACTTTTTGATTTTTGATTTTAACAACTAGTAAAGTAATTATTTTAACGGGAAATTCTCCACCCCCGATGAAAAACGCAAAAACAATAACCTAAAACAAACAATTAAATATCAGCAATAAAAGTGGTAATTACTAAAACACTTACTTGTATTTTCAACCATTAGGGCCCTAAGATAAAACAACCCAATAATATTACGATATGATCAAAATAAAATATTACGTTTATGTGCTTTGAGGGATGCGGATAACGGATGCGGTTAACAGATGCGGATAACGGATGCGTTTATTCCATATATAAAATACCTTTCCATACGTACCCAAGAATACATGTTCAACATAATGTATATACTAGGATATAGTTCTAAGCGGCATGAAGGCTGTTCTCCCATCAGTACGAGCGAGCACACTATAAAAACATCCCTCACCCCATTATTCCACTAAACCCATAAATAAGGAATTTTCATTTGCAATAAGGGATCGACGAAGGTACCCAACAACTCAGCAAACACTCTGTCTATGAAAATGAAATGTCATTGGTTGGGAGTCATACCTTGAGAGACTTCTGGCACAAGCCATAAATCGTGGAATCTTGTCGACGATCTCCTGTGGATCCCACGAATTGCTTTTGAATTGGTTTTCCCATTCATGATAAAAGAGGTGGATATCAACCTACAACAAAAATGGGCAAACAAAAAACTCAAAACATTAAGTCAGGCACTGTGTAATTCTTGAAAAGTCCATTCATCAAAGAAGCCACTGTTCAAAACTGAATTGGGCGTTGACGAGGACAAAGAGAACGACAACAGGAATGAGGAGTAGGAGAAGAAATATCTGAGGTAGAAGAGAAACTGAAGAAGAGGAAGATGAAAGAGAAGAGATTTTAAATAGTACCATTCAAACTTTATGAAAAGAAAAAACAAAACAAAACAAAAACAAAAAAACAACAACAACAACAACAAACAGATAAACTTACCACGTTTGGTGTGTCTTTGTAATCGCCTTTTTTAATGTCGCGAGGACTCTCATAGCAGATTATTACGTCAAACTGCTCATCATCGTCTGATGTTACGGTATATATTTTTCGTTCAGACATGCGTGAGTAGTGCAGATCAAAGTCTTCTGGTACGTCATTTTGAGGGAGGTCCACTTTACCATCTGGGTTAATAATCACGTTTTCATAGACGTAATTGTATAAAATGTCAACCTCCTCGCGCAGTTCCTCATCTTCTGGGCATGAAGTAAGATCTATTAGAATACACATACACAAAAAAACGATTCATCAGTCTAACAGTCAGTCAGACAGTCGCAGGATCAGTCAGTCGGTCAGTCAATTGAATAAAGGCAGATTTCGGTGCGGCGCGTGCTTCTTTAGTCGATTTACTTCGGAGGGCTTTTGGGTAGGCCCTAATTGATTTTGACTTACTTGCTTCAGTAGTTAAACGAAAATCCGGTCCCAATGGCTCGATAATGTCCACCACAGCTCGTTTCGCAGTAGACTCGCAGATATAAAAATAAGGAAAGGAATCCGAGCACTTCAGAACATTTTTAACTTCCACAGGACTCGGGGCATTTTCAAAGGACAACTGAGAATCATGTTGTTTAACATCAACGAAAACCTAAGAAAAAAGATATATAATATAAGTTTTATTGTATAATGTCATATCAATTAAAAGGATTGCTAGCTTTAGTAATGACTGGTAGAAAAAACTGTAAAGCGGGCTAGCGCTTTTCACCATCACATGATGGCAGCCATGACAGGAGGCACATTAATAGAGTCTTTCTCCCCCGGGAAACTGAATTCCTTCTCATGTAAATCAGATTTGACCAGATTCAATCGTTCCTGCCTCCCGTCATGGCTGCCATCACGTGATATACGGTGGAATATAAAGGGAATTAAACCATATATACCCCATGCCATTCTCTACTCTTTCACTTCACTCCTTACATCGAGGACAACTTCGAACTACATATAGGTCAGTTTATCGAAATCGTAATATACTGCTGTTTTTCTTCATGCTATACTCATCAGTTTACTTAGGGCTACCCGGCTCCCGCGCCCCATTATGAGCACCCTTTGATGCTATTTTTAAAACCATTCATTTGAATGTTTGTTTTTCTGCACGCGCATGCTGCGCGCACTTTACACTGATTGCTCATGTTACTTTGTATTTTTCACAAAAAAAAAAAAAAGATAAATAAATAAAATAAAATAAAAACGATGGCAAATTTGATCCTAAAAATAGCATCAAACGGTGCCAACGATGATTACAAGCATAAATAGCAGAGATTCCTTCTCTTAGTTCATTTTCTCTTGAGGGTAAGGCTGAGCAACTTTTAATTTTTTAACTCTCATCTTCTTTTATTGAGCCTTCAAATTTTTCACAACAACCGACGATCCTAAACAAAAGGTCCCTCGTTTTTTCTCTAAAAATCTCACAGAATTCATGTAAATGAAGGTTAATAAAACAGATCACTGAAGCATGTTTAAGAAAATGGGTAAAGGGCGCTTGCTAGCTTTAAAGATTATATGACAATTCATATGTATTTGGAATTTCTTTTACGTATACCTTAATTCGTATTTCTCTACAGGACGGAGTAAGATATGTAAACTCATAACGATGAAAGGCTAAGTAAGGACTCGTTTTGGATTGTGAGGACAGCCATCTCTCTAGTTGACTGAAAGATGTCTCCTCGTCTTGGTTTTGTATGTAACCGAAGAACTTTTGCTGCCATTTTGTAACTTCTGAAGTAACTTCTTGCGAACAGAACCTTCTGGGCATCAAATGGTTCTTCAATTCTTCAGGGTTATACACCTTGACTTCTTCGTCTAAAATAAGTAAATTCGATCAATGAGACCTGGAATAGGCCATTTTTGATAGCTTTTCTTAGGTCGATTACACCTATCCGGTTTGAGAAAACTGTTTTTTTTTTTGTATTTCAGACCAACCACGTTATATTCCCTTGAGCATCAGCCTTTTGCAACAACAGGTCACGTGACCTGTCACAATGAATACCAGAAATGGAAAGTACACCTTGATATTAGTAAAAAGGCGAAGTTTCAGCTTCTAATACTGAATATAGGAGAAATGACATTGAATATAGAATCGAATATTTCTTAAGGTTTTGTATAGAAAAATGTGCTGGAATTCATAGCTTGCCATGCAGCATATTTCCCCATACAAATCCGTATAAAATATTCGATACGATTTAATATGTTTAAAAATGTTATTTCTCCTGTGTTACATGTTATACGCTGAAACTTTGTCTTCTTACTAATGTCGGGGTGTTCTTTCCATTTTTGGTTCATTTTGACACAACGTCTCTTTTAAAGGAGGGTAGGGTCACGTGACATGTTGTTGCAAAAGGCCTATTGAATTGGAGCAGTGTTATCCCTCCTTCCCCCGATCGTAGGTGTATCATGACCTACCTGGCTGAATGTTTGTTAAGTAAATGTGACCAAAGTGACACCAGATCTTACTGGCACGATTTGTTTCCTTATTTTGTCGTAAAATCTGGGATATTTGATCTGAGAGGAAGCTGTAGTCTGCATTCCCCCCCTAAAAATAACATATTAACATTTAGCTTTGTCAGCAATGGCAGCAGCAACAACAGCGACATCAACAGCAACTGCGCTAGCAGCAACACTAGCAACGAACACTTACAGCACTAGCAACAACCACAAGATCAACAACAGCAGAAGCAACAGCAAAAGCAAAGCCATATAGCAGCAGCAGTAACAAAAACTGCAACAACATCAGCAAAAGTAACCGAATAGCAGCAACAACAACAACAACAGCAGCACCTATGACAGCATTACAATCGAAAAGATTATTCATCCTGGATATAAATCAAAGATTATACTTCTTCATTTGTCTCACGATTGTGGCAATTGAGAGGACCGTGACTTTACGTCGACTGCTACTGCTAGTCTTCATCAGGCAATGGCATAGACTGGAAGAAGGTCTATTTATATACCGTCAGTCTTGGCTCCCCTGAAGATCGCGCCGGGGCTGTTATTGGTCCGGGTGGTGGGCTTGACGGAGTGCTTTCGAATGGTCGGTATATATCCAAGCGAAACGTCGCTGTCCTCCCAACTGCCACAAAAGTCGCACAATCTTGTACAATTCGGAATTTATAGATACTCGTGATATTTTGAACTTTCTCAAATTAGACTTGCCTAAAGGTTCCTCCAATTTTGAAGACTTTCAAAACATCACTCTTTCCTATGAATTCCGATTGTACTCGAGGCTGTGTTATTTCCTTTACAAACTCACCATATCGCCAGACGAGTTTTTTAAAACAAGTTCGAATAATCTTTTCTTGGTATKACGATCATCTCTCTTTTCAACCAGTTTTAGTGCAAATTTACCACTTTCGGAGTCAATAACTGGGAATCTTAAAGTCTCTAAGCCACGATTTCTAAGAATACCAGTATTCTGAAATTGGACAAGTTAAAACCATATATATCATTGCTGGCTTTCACTTAGCTGTAAAAAGTTTTTTGAATCTCAATTTCTGCTCCACATGGGGGTCAGACACTGACCACCATGTGCTGTCAGCCAGAAAGATTCTATTGAAAACTAGCGATACAGCTGATGAACATTTCAATCAAGTGAAAGCCAGCAATGATAATTACACTTGTCTGGTCATACAATTATTTTTCAATTACGAAATTACTGACGAATTTCCACTACAGTTTTTCGTGGTATGTTCTCTTATTTACCACGATTTTCGTCATTTAGCCCTCAAAACATTGTGGACTCAAGAGTCGGATCTGGGACCACAAAACACACTGTTTCTCTTGGTCCCAGTCAACATGTATTAATGATTATAATTTAGTATTACTTACAACAGTTTGCTTGATGAATAGTTTTGCTGAATACTGGTTTTCTCTTGTTCCTCGTATAATGAAGTATGTTTGGTCGTCCTCATGTCTTTTAGTTTTTATGTAGGTATTCGTTTGTTCCATAATCCTGTTTTTCGTTTGGCCGTTTTTACCAATTGCATATCCAACCATTTCCTCTGGAACAGTAAACCATATTTCTTCATCAAGATCTTCATCACCCTCTGAATTGCTGCGTTCCTTGAAAATAAACACAGTAATAATAATAATAAATAAATAAAATAAAATAAACAGTCAATTTCATGTAATTTCAAATATTTGTATCACAAGAAATGTCACGTGATACTTGTTACATTCGCTATAAAGGCGGTGGCTACTAATAGGTCCTTTGCAGCTAAGCAATCACGTGCTGATTAATTGACTGAGAGCAAATGAATGAACATTTTGATTCCCATGGGTTAAATATACTGGAGAGCAAATAAACTTTCTACAACCTGTTTCGAGAGATCGTAATAAAACTACATTTCGTAACACACTAGATACACATCTTTTCATTCAGTTCTTTACAAGTAGCTAAAAAGAATCACCAATTTTTAAAATATAAAAACAAAAGTTTTGCATTCCAGTACAGACACGTGACCGTTAACTGCAAAGGGCCTATTGAAAATCACTTATTTTCTAAAATGACTATGTGAATTGTTTTAACCTATCAAAGAGTTTTTAAATTCTGGATATTAATTAGTTGTTATAAGAAGTCATGGGATAGAATACTTAATTCACAACGCAGAAACAGTATATATTAATAAAACAATAATAATATCCGATGAGATGTATAACTGCAAAAAAAATGACTATGTATATATCCTGATGCAATATAGTTAACAAAACAAAAAAAAAAACAAAAAACAAAACAAACAAACAAAAAAACAAAAAACAAAAAAAAAGATATGCTCTACTTGTACCCAAAAAGCATCTAATATATATAATACTGGTGAATCAAATATTAATAAATCATATTGATTTATATATATACACTTATTTTAATAAAGTTAGTCACTAAAAAGCCTAGAAAGCTGAGATCATACTGAGGATCATGGGAATGTTTTAATATCAAAGTAAAGCTTTTGATACGATTTGCAGCTTTAGGATGCTCAGAAGAGGTGAGACTGTAACTGATAAAAGATCTAAAATCCCTCAATAGTTATTAAAGCAGTTGAAACATGTAAAATGTATCTATCCATAATCCTTGCAGGTCTCAGCTTTGTAGCTTTTCAGGTGACTTACTTTGTTGAAATAAGTGTATTAATGCTTTTTTTATCTAATTTATATATCTTCCATTTCTTCTTTATTGGATAAAAATGGTTTGAAAAATATTGTTATTAGATCTATGCATCAATGGACACAGATTTGTTAAGTGCTTTTATTAAGATTTATTACATTCATTTATTTATTGGCATTAGTACTATTATATATCCAAACACAAAGCGCTTTTGACGCTCTATAATATCTAAAGCATGAAATACTGGTTGGGTTACCTGTGGGGGTCGATGCATCATMATGAGGGAAATTTCCCTTATTAGTCGATGTGTGTTTATGCTTCRATTCTTGAATAAAATCAAAAATAACCACTCTTATTTACATCTTAACAACATATTACTTTTGATCCACATACATTAAGATTAAAGGAAGAGACAATGTTTCCAGTGGAGATCATAATATAGCAAATTTCAATATAACGCGAACTCGTCAGTTGCGATTTAACAGTTGCAATTTCTTTTTTTTTTTTTTTACTGCCGCCAATCAAAAATATAATAGTCGCAGACTGATTTCTTTTAATGAACGGCAGCGGGAAAAAAATTAAAACATGTACAAATTTCAATGTACAGCTTACGACTCGGCCGAGTTCGCATCATTTTAACTGCTATAAGAATAGGGTTAAGAAATCAACCGGTGAAATCAACAAGCTTCCTTCAGTTGTCAAAGATGATCACAAAGCTTGTTGATTTCGCCARTGGATTTCTTTACCATATTGGTTAAACCTCTCTAATAGATCTGGAATTGTAACATTGTCTGCATAAAATAAGATGTTTATAATATCTAAGCTGCCCATACCTTAAGGAAGAATCTAGCATCTTAAATCCGTCGCCTGAAGTCAACAGATCGTGAAGAAGGAAGTATTTCYAAGGTGAAAATGCTAACAAATCGACTGCCTTGAAACTTCTAAATTACTGCATCACCCCATTGGATGATTTAGAAGTAAAGTTTCCATATTTGTAGGGAAATCAAAGTTCTTTTGGGTAGCGATTTCACCCAAAAAAGGCAAAAAAGAAACGAAACAGGCAAGCTAAAATGACTGCTCAAGAAACGAAGCCATGAACCGAGTCAATTAGGGGATACCCCTGAAAAAAAAAAAAAAAAACAATGGGAGAGGAGGGTTGGGGAAGACAAAACAAAGGTATCCCATGATGACTTTTGATTAATAGTATTTTTCCACAAAAAGTTCCTTTAAATTACCTTTCAAAGTCAATTAGTTTTTTTTTCTAAACAGGTGCGGGAGAGGAGGGTTTGGGAAGACAAAACACAGGTACCCCATGACGACTTTTTAGAACAAGTAATAAAAAACACAGGTACCCCATGACGACTTTTGAGAACAAGTATTCCTATACATTACATCAAGGGCACTAGGACTAGCCCCCGGGGCTCTATATGGAACTTAAGGTGGATTTGATTAACCATATTTACTCTGGACGGTTGAATATTACTGACGTAAGGAGCATCGCGCGGTCGCGTTGTTGTTGGTATAGTACAAACAGAGTCAAGTACGGAACGGCCGGTAAAGAAGTAACGCTCATAGGATATTCAAACCGTTTGACCTTTGGAAGAAAACGTCTGCATTACAACAGCGGACAAAGGAACACGGACGCAAGATAAGTAAACAAGTATAACGTTAGTTTAATTCAAATAATCAAAAGATCAAAAGGAAAAAAAAAAAACTATAGAAATCCAACCACATTCGGTGTCCTAGTGCCCTTGATTACATTTTATTTACCGGCTAAGGAATGATAGAAAAAATTTAAAGTTTAACACAAGACTCACCTCAAGTTTATCAACTTTTCTGGTCTTCGCTTATCTTCAAGTGATTGATTGATCTCTGCAGCAATATATTGAGCAATATATATCTCCTATTTTCCAATCTTCTCTTAACTGGAAAATAACTCTTCATATTGCAACTCCTGATTGGAATATTCTCGAGCCATTATAGATTTTTTTTTTAAATTTGAATTTATTGTTTGAATGCATGTGTGATGGGCAAAGCATGGTGAACTGGCGTTAGTGTTTAAGGTCTTACTTGCATAAGCCCTGTCCCAAAACTAAAATTAACCATAGTTGAAATAGCGGGTCGCAATGCAACGATTATAGGTATAAGCTATTTAGAAAAAGTAGAGATAACTAGCTAAAAACTATCGTGAGCTGCGTCGGTGTTTCTAATGAAACAGTAATGATGAAAAGGTAAATTATACACYGTGAAAAATTGAAAAACCTTACTGACGTTTCGGACGCTAGTCCTTTGTCGGAGTAAAAGAGCAAAAAAGRAGAAAAAGAAAAAAAGTAGTTTATATGCTCAAGTTTTTCAAATCGAATTATTAYATTATCAGCAGTAAACACGTTTGRATGCTAATTAGGTAAGCTAGATAGGGCGTAATTTCGTAACCTACCAGCATGACAGGACTAATAATGTAAACAATCACTTAAAACCAATTATTAATGTTCTCAAGATGCAGTTTAAATACTTAGAATGTTTGAAATGTCCTAAGATGTGATTAATTTAAATGTTCTTGCAATGTTCACTGTGCAGCTTAATACCGCTTTCTGAATTCTAAGTAATACATCTTTGTATCTTGCTCCAAAGATATTCTTCATCTCAGGCTCCATCTCTTTAGACCATCCTCCAAGAGCGTCCAAAATGAGGTTCACTTGCAAGATCGTGTATCCTGTGTGTTGTTTTGTGAGCTCAAGTCTAAGTGCTCCATACTTCTTCGTCTTCTCTTTGTCTTTCTTTTCTCGGTTGTTAACCCACGGACAGCTCATTTCCACCATGAGTACTTTCTTGTTATTGTGGTCGATGAAACGCGCGTCCACACGGTTACATCGTACATACATGTGGTCAGCATATACAGGTACATCCCAGTATGCTTCAGCGTCAGTTGATTTGTAGAGTGGTTTGGGTTTGACATCAGAAAACCATGGGGGTGTACTATCAGCCAGTTTGAGATCTCTTAGCATCTCAAAGAAAAACACTTTCAAAGCAGCGTTGTGTCTATCCTTTTATTATTATTATTATTATTATTATTATTATTATTATTATTATTATTATCATTATTATTGAAACATCAAATTTACGTACAACAAAACAATGCCTTGATGATAAGTTCACCTAACGTGTCTTCACGATGGCGTGACCGAACATTTTCATTGGCCGAGCAATGATTTCGCGCGCTCTGATTGGTTCGAAAGAAGTAATGAAATCATTATCGTGTGCGACGGTGACAGCCTTCACAGTCCTACGAAATCTTTTCCAAATYAGGAACAAAAGTTGAAAGAAAATACTTGAAGAAAAGTCAACACAATATTTCGTAGTATAATCACAACATTTTAATGGTAGGGAATATCGCGGGCGCAGAAAACCCTAGTCCGAGCTGGACCCTGTTTTATCGATGCTCGCGCGGCGGAGACGAACCGAGTAGCGGAAATAAACTGCTAACAATTGTAACGATAAGACTTTATTCAGTTTTCTTCGTTCGTATTTCGCGCGGTATTTTTTTTTTTTTTTTTTTTTTTTTTTTTTTTTTTTGTTTTTTTTTTTCTTTTCGTTTTGAGATATAAGTTAATCATACAGTTAATGAAAAAGTGGATTCCACTCCGGACTAACAAAACCTAGTGTCAAAAGATTCACAATTTAAAACAGTAAAGAATAGACAACTTCAACAATACAAACACTTTGAATTTCATTTTGACCGTCATTGGACAAGAAAGTTAGTGAATATTCTAGTTYCGAATTATTTATTGCTCAAGGTCCAATGTAGTCTCTTCAGCAGCCGTTCTTAGTGTCGGTACGAAACGCTTCCCTAGCTAATTTCGAACCGACTCTACTAGAACGAATGCCGAGGAGACTACATTGGACCTTGAGCAATGTGGAATTCCAAACTAGAATATTCGCTAACTTTCTTKCGAAAGAAAAGAAAACAAAAGGATGTTTTTAAGTAAGGCGTAAYTATATCTTTGTTTAAGTGTCTATTTGTTCTAGCAATTTCGCATTAATTGGGGACACTTTTCACTCACACACGCTACCAATACATTCAATATTCTATGCACACAATGCTCAACTCACATGTTGATTTTTATCATAGGATCGAATAAGTGACGTTTAATTATCTCATTCTATTTTTTTGCTTCGTCAAAAAAAGCAAGAAACACAGAACACTATTGAAAGCGTGTGTGTCTGTGTGGTGTGTTAGGGACGTGGCTGGGCTGCCGGTTTTGAAAATATAACAGGCAGGTGGGAGTAAAAGTAGAAACAAGGGGAGGGGGGAGAGTCTGACAATGGAAGACATTKCAAATGTGTATGTGATGATATCATGTACGAGTCAACAAGTACGAAATGGAAGATAACCATAGTATTGTTATGGGACGACCGCTCTCGGTATGAGCTTCGGGATCGATCTTTAATCTACTTTCTATGTTGAACTGTTTACATGAGCTGTATTTATAATAATTCTATGACAGGTGTCAGTCTCKAATCAATATCGTCGAATAATGATTGGCTAAAGAATAAGTAAATTCCTAAGTGCGATATTCTAATGATAATACGAGCGAAAATCTTGAAATTAAACATAGCTTAAACTAAAGTTAAAATACGAATATATTGTAAATGTATAGAAAAGGCTACCAGGAATATTTCTATCATAAGGTTTAAAAGAATAGTGCTAAAATAACTGAGCAAAGGGGTAAAAAGTGTGTAGCGCGTAACCAGAGGTACACATGCATGGGAGGAGCTAAGAGGTTTACTTGTGAATTCAATGCATACCATTATCTACAAACTTGTGCGTGATGGTAGCCGTGCTGAAATCTTATATCGATACTTTTATATAGCTAATTAATCGTTATCTTGTTTTCATACGATAAGTAATGGTAATTAGAAAACTGATGTCTTCCTTCGTCTGTAAAACATTCATTTTCTCTCTCATAACAGTATTCAGTACGATTAAACTGGCTTGCTTGGGAGGGATGGAGTTCGGCTTGCTTTTGAAGAATAGTAAAAATAAACTTTTATTTCACCGAATCAAAATCATCATTCAATTCCACATATTTTGATTACTAAATTTAAAAAATAATACTCTTTTTATATACGAATATTGAATGATGAAATACAGAAGGTTCTCCAAATGTATCCTGCAGCTTAAACGAATTCAGCTGTTGGGTTTCTAATATTCATTATCAGGAAAACTTGTTATTATTCCCGCTTTGTTTGTTCAACTTCTCTTCTCCTGTAATGAAGTTATATTTTAATATTTTTTCGTTTTTATTTTTCAAAGAATTTAACGCTTTCAATGTACTTCAAGGACACAACGAAGTAAGAAATTACACTTAAAATTACTGTTCGAAAAACTGAAACAAATAACTGATAATAATAACAAATATAATCAGCGAAACAAATAAAGATTTCCAAATTTTTTTTTTTTTTTTCCCCACTCTGTACGCTGAGAACTAAGTCGATACAATATATAGCGTACTCAAACTTTCAAACTGAACTACTTTGCACCAGAGGAAAAAATTCATATAACAAACATTCTCAAACGACTTTGTAGCCTTTTTTGCGCTTATTTTGTACAGTTATTGTGAAATCGAGTGCTAACTCGATGACCATTATCATATGTTTACGGATCGCGCCTGGCTTCTGTTTAAACAGTCACAATTGTTTCATCAAATAAAAAAAAGATGCTTTTTAAAAATGTATGATTTGTTTCTTTGGAAACGTTGCGTAATAAGGGTTTGCAGGAGCGCGAGRTATCTCTAAGATATTAACTAACTTCTGCCATAATTCAATTCAGCATTTTTTCTAAAAATTATCAGAATCGAACTCTTGTCTGATTTCAAGGCCCCTACTCCACGGACAAAAAATGTGAATACAAACTTTAAGAAAACATGTCAAGACATGTAAAGCGCAATAATTCTCACATATTGATTGGTTAATGCCACATGGTGAGTGACTTRCACTTGCAATTACACAAGTAAGTTATTTAGCGAGCTCTCTTGGGTGTTAGCCAATCACTATGACATATTATGCGAATGTACGTAACTAATAACCTTTGAGCGTTAATGAAATCATCTGAATTTAAACGTTTTTATTCTTTGGTAGTTAATGAAATATTAAATCTATACATCTGTCGGAATTGTACTAGAGTATTCTATATTTAACCATCGTTCAACCACAAATTCAGACATATCTTCAGTGTCTTTCTTACAGACCARCCTTACAGTAAAATCAAATCCAATAAGGTATGTTGATTGGAATCAGTGAATCTAGTTGTGGTTCTTGGAGTAAAAATTTTGATATCTTATTTTAGCCCACATACGTTAGCGAATCAGGTTCTTTTATGGAGACTGCAGTGTTTTAGTGTTTGAAAAAATTTAAAAGTTTTTGGACGAAAAAGTTAGTCATGTTCTGGCTCTTGGATACTTACCTTCTCGAKTTTATTTTTCCCTCATACGTTGATGAACTAGTTTCTTTTATGGAGACTGCTTTAGTAAGAGGGGGAAAGTTTTTCAACAAATAATTGCATTTAAACCTAGTTTTTGTAAAGGTTCGCAATTGAATTCTAAGTTAATTTTTTTGTATTCGGGAAAAGTAAACGTTATTTTTCAAAACCTTAGCAAGAAATTTTGAGGCGAGGATTGATTCCAAACGATTTTTTGAAAATATGCTGTACTGGAAGACAAAGCAATCTTCGATTTAARAAATGCACCGATCATCTTTACTTCGAAACACAGAAATGTTTCTTTATTTGACGAACTTTAAAATTAACTTTCTTATTAAATTATATCGTGGTGGAAAAAAAGAGTTGCTGATGTTGACAATGTCTTCCAAAAATGAATTTTTACGAAAACCAAACAAAGATTTGATCAAACATTTACTTTATCTTTCGCGAAAATAGAAAACTTAAAAAAGTTGTGTGAGTAAATCGTATATTGAAATTTCCTTGATGAATTTTTAATAGGTTCACAGTCGCTAACACRATGAAGGCAACGCTAGTGTTGGTCTTTGTATTGTTCCTTCTCAAGCACAAAGTCACCTACGCTACGATGTGGCAGACTCAAGAATACTCAGAACTGAACRTGTACTTACAAGGATTCACTCTTGAATCGTCCAAGGTAAAAACAATCTTTGCATGTTACAGAAAGTGTGAGGACAACATACATTGTGCAAGCATCAACATGAACCTGACGAACAAAACATGTGAACTGAAGTACTCTACCAAGACTAGACACCCAGAGAAGATTGTTATATAGTCAACAAAACACCATCTACATGGAGATACGAGATGCTCTCGGGTTTTCTCCTCGTAACCCAATATTATCCTGTAAATGGTTCAAGAATCTTGACAACCAGGTAAACTCAGGTGTTTACTGGATGAAGTTCAATGAGCCATCCTCTGCGCCATTCCAAGTGTTCTGTGACATGACCACCGATGGAGGAGGCTGGTCCCTTGTCTACAGCTATACATTCTCCGACTTCGATAACTTCAATACAGACGACAATGTAATTACTCCAGTACCGAATTGGCCTCTCTATATGTCACCAGCCAATGAGTGGTCACCAATATCAACGACAACCCCGCTCAATGAGTCTTCCTACTCTGCCATGGATTTTGGAAYGTGGAAGAAGATTGGTCGCGAAATTCTTCTCAAGTGCAATATCACTAACTGGGTAGCCTGTGTAGAAGGAACCGGACGTCTTGTGGACTGGGTGGCAGGAAGTCTGACGTGTAGAGTTGTCAAGGCCATTACACCAACATGCACGACTATTGCTCCAGATAGTTTTGAATTTTGGGGCTGTGGTCCAGCGTTTAAGAATAGTGCCTCAAATAGTTACCAGTTTGTACTTGATGCACAATTAAAGCTTCACCAATGTTATCCTATGCATGATCCTTGTGCTCAGAATTCAGCAAATCATCTCAAAAATGTAACCAGCCCTGGATGTGCCTTGTACCTTCGCTAGTCGTGATGCTGGTCGATTGGAATCAAAATACCATGAATTATATGTCACATGGATGGAACATGGGAAGCGTATAAAACTAGTTTATTGTACTTTCTAATTCAAGAGGAACCAGGTACCATAAGGACACTTTCAATCGAAAGAAATCGCTTTGGTTTTACATACGTGACCAATTGTAGTGAAAGTTTTCCCTAAAGCCTTTACAAATTATACGGTTATGGGAAAAAAGTCTGGGACTCCTGAACGCTTACGACAAGTTCAAGAATGCAATGGGAATTTCTGGAATACCTTATGGCAGTTTTTACAGAGAACACACACACACACACCAAACAAACAAATAAACGCCTAAATATTTTCTCTGCCAAAATATTCTTTATCTGTACCCTGCTGAAAATAAAGATTGCTTTCACATGACGAACATGACAAAATCAATATGCAACTGCCTTTTTGCTTAAAGGTTTATAGGCCGATCTGTGGGCCTTGTTGAGCTTTTTGTGGTTTGTGGCCAGAAATATATGAAATATATAGAACGCTAGTGAGCTCAGACACCACGCTCTAACTACTTCAAAATCCTACTCGCGTGTAAATTTCTTTAYATAATACCATATAAAGAGGACAAATTACTTCCAAATTGAAAGGTGAAATGTCACGCATAATTTGTAATTTCATATGTGAAATTTCTCTGTTGCCATGGCTATCTTGAAAATGTCTCTTAAAACAGCCCCATAATGCACTTCAATGCCAACTCGACTCAGTTTTTTCCTTATMCTCAGAATGGCTAATAAGAAACAAGTAAAAACAACCAGAAAAAATAGAAAGTTTGAAGCTTAAAAKTGAATTTTGAGCATTTTTTCGTGCGTCAATACACTGTCAGTAACACTAAACCTCTTCRCACTCTGAATGTTGATATTAACTCAGAATGAGCTGCTAGTCAGTATTTCACTGATAAACCAAGCGGCTATATGACTGTTTTCTATTGGTTACCTCCTAAATCTTAAATACTTRATATTTAGATCTTATTAACCGAGCTTGGCCGRTCTGTACGGGATAATCTTGACCGAGGTCGGAATGTACAGACCGAGCGCAGCCGTAAGATTATTATGCGATCGGACCAGTTAATACCGGAGAATCTAGACCAGTCCGCGATGCGATCTATCCAATCAGATTGCTCGATTTGCTAGTGTCCWGGCTCTAAGATTCACGGTCATATAATAATGTTCTTTATGAAATAAATTAGATAGTATACGCACGTTCTGATTGGCTGATAGCAATGTTTGCATTAGGCTATGCAAAAATGGTTGTGACGTCAGAGGTTTGGATGGTTCTCGAAAATTGTCAAAACGTTTCTTTTTTACTTATTTTGTAGTTTTTAAACTTAACTTTGAGATGAAAAAACGTCGTAACAAATAATACATTAAAAGTCATAAACCTCTGAAGCATTGATGAAAAACGGAGGAAAATCCTTGCAAAACTTAGTAAGTAAATTCAGACTACAGTTTGCACTTCGACGTGGATTACAAAGACAGGAATATACGCTAATAAAATAAGAAATTTTACTTTACTTAACACAAAAACAATTGTGTTCATTTTAAAAAAGCTATAGAGCTTTTGTCTGTGTTTGGATAGGCTGATAGCAACGCTCGGGGGTTAATAGATTTCTCGAAAGTTATTCAAACCCTAGCCCTCGACTCCGTCTCGAATTCTCCCAACCTCCCCTCGTGTTGCTATCAGGCTATGCAAACACAGAAAAAGTTTTCTATTGCTTATAGCTATATGGGGACTGATTTTATGATACAATAAATATTTTCTCGGTAAGAATTGAACGAACTTCTAATGAGGTGTATGGTAATTAAGACGATTTTGGAAACTGGAGAACAATAATGGCCAAGAAATAATAATGATAATAAATAATAACTTYTTAGCTTTTTAGTTTGAAAGTTAGAGGGTTATTGTCCGAATTTCTAATGTRATTTTCTTTACTTTGATGAATATATCCTTTTGAAAGTCATAGTTGACTGTTTCTTTAAACTTATGATAGGCTAAATTAGGTCATTGAGCGCAAAGTTAATATACTTGAAGCCGGTTTTAACTTCAAGATCTTAAGGAGGCTGGACCCCTTCACGCTTGACCGCTACCTTCTACGTTTGGAGCGCTTAAAAAAAGATACAGAGTAAAACTAAATGAGCAATGATTTTCGTGAGCAAATAACTCCGAAATATCATATAATATAATGTTTTGAAGTAGACTTTGCACTATATTTAAATAATCTCAAATATCTCACAATTAGCTAGATATATTTTTTCAAAAATCCCTGCAAATGGAGGCATCTAGTATATAATTATGTGATACGAAGCATTTTAGTGTTGAACGCTCTGCAAAGCTAAAATTGTTTTCTAAACGAAAACAAATATTTCATCATAATCATCTCATTAAAAATTGCATCAAACATTAATTCAATCTTTGTGTGACTTATGTGCAAAAAAGATTTGCAGTCGGATAAAACACGTTTATGCACTAGCGTTCCAAACGTGGAAGGTAGCGGTCAAGCTTGAGGGGGTCCAGCCACCTTAAGGTAAATATATATAGCTTATTATTTATTCATTCTGTATTTTACAATAACTTACAAATTTCTCGCGCGCYGATTGGTTATTTTTTATCATTAATAAAAGGGACAGACAGATAAAGCTGACGTCAACGAGCGCGCGCTCTTTCCGTTGGTTGTTTTGATCGCTAAAAATGAGAAGTTTTTATCGTTTTTGTTATTGTAAAAAACAAATTGACATCAGATTTTTATGTGTCTGTCCTCTTATTGACAATAAATTTCGCCATCACATTGTCAAAGTAGTATGCGGATCCACACTACTTTGACAATGTGATGACGCAATTTATTGTCAATAAGAGGACAGACACATAAAAATCTGATGTCAATTGGTTAAACTGACGATGACAGAAGACTCTGTCGAAACCTGTCTAAATTTTTTTTTTAAAAAGTGATCTTCATCAAAATTCTAGTGAGTCTGCTAATTTCCAGACCAAGATCTAAAGAGTTTAAGAAATAACGATCTAATGTACAGGCCATAAAAAATATCGCACTTAATAAACTAGTGTTTCGTGTGTTACCAGTTTTTCAAATTACCTCAAAACCGAATAAAAATACCCGACCCGCAACCTCACAATGTCATTACTTATTCGATGTCTCGAAATTCTAATAAACATCGCACTTTTTAAAGCAATTATTAACAAAAAATAACCAAGTTGTGTTGTTTCATGTGTTATTACCCAAGTAATGATACTGACGTCAACCAACAGGTGATTCTTCGGCTTTTTGTTCAAAGTTGTGAAGCAAATGTTTGTTAAGGAAATTTCTAAAATTTTGAAAAAATAATAAWAACGATTTCATTTATACGCTTAATATTTAAATTTTCAGAGGACCATTTTTACCGGTCCATTTTTCTGGTTTACTAGATGTTAACACATTGGTATATATTCTTCTTTTATATCAAAATTTAACGAGGTTTACAGTCACAACGGCATCTTATAACTTAATAAATATTAATATTATTTTGCAGTTACTCGTAAACTATAAAATGTCATGCCCTAATTACATACAGAAATGGAACCCCTTTWGGGAATATCAATCAAGTTGAGGCTAAATCCTAATGCTTCAGGAAATCCCAACTGATTTGAAGGTTGGGTTATTCCAGATTTTAACTAGGAACTACCACCTTACTCTCCAAACTTTTCATAAACAAAATTTTTGAGTTKAGTTTTTTTCAAAATTTTCTAAGTCACCTTGTCAGTCACTAATTGGCGGTTCATTGACGTATCAGATTCGTTCCCTGAGTAATATTGATATCATATAAATAGCATCCGCAGAGTTTTCTAATAAATAATCTTAATCATGGTTTTAAAAATTCCTATTGGGTTTCTTCCTATCTATTTTAATCAGGTGGGATATATTCATAAGTATAAACTAGAGCTACACTCATCATCTCAATTCATTGAATAATTTGCTGTTGAAGACTGAAGATGCCATCCATCGACAATCTCCTTTTTTGCAGTCTTTAAAGGTACATCTTAAATATTAATGCACTTAGATCTCTCTTCTTTATTTTTCCTCACATTTTTCTTCTTTTCCTTGTAATTTAAATAGTTTCCAAAAGTTGAAAAGGAAAAGCAATATTTAGCTGTATTTAGGAAATAAATTGTTCGGGTCATTTCGTCAAAATTTTACACAATCTTCCCGTTCCTCGGGTGTCAAAGTTCTTCTCATGTCTCTCATTCTTGTCCCTGTCCTTTTTTTATGTTCTTGACCTTGCCTACGCGTCTTTTCTTTGAAATCTTCTTTTTCCCCTTCTTTCTCGATCTCATTATCTTAGGTAAAACACTTGTTTTGCTACCAGTTTTTATTATTGAATTTCAAACCCTTCTTTTAAGGAGAAACCATTTCAAAACCATTACGAGCATGATAAAATAAACATTCATAAACTATTTCAATGACCCTCTAGAAAAAATTTTTATCATTTGAAAAACGCTTTCATTAGACGGTTTTTGCTGCGACCAAAATGACTGCGAGTTCGAGAAGCGGCACAGCTTTTAAACGGGAGTTCATGGATGACATTTTCAGCTGTGACCTGATTTAGTAAATTTTGAAATGACGGAGGTAAAAATTCTAAACTAGAGCTCACGGAAGAGCCCCCTTTATGGAGAGTGATGGTTCTAAATGAAAAATAAAAAAGAACGATTTAAGGTGGCCGGCTACTTTGGTAAATAATAAACAGAGAACTGAAAAAAGAACTTTTTTAACCTAAAAATTAATGCTGATTTCAAAAATGCAAAGAAAAATGGGGAGTCCCGAGCTTGTTTTTGAGATAATCACTCCGGAATGACATGCGTTTGTACAATTTTGGAAGAAAAATAGCGAAAATCAAGCCTTGTATATAAAAAAAAATCTTAAAACCGAAACTAATGAAGAAACATTGAGTAATATTCTCCGAACACGTAACTTACAATATATTTATAAAATACTGATAAAAGTTGTTTTAATAAACTATTGTAGACAATGGATATAAATATACATATGTATATACATTATACGATTTTATTGAAGAGCCACACACGGTATAGTGAATTTGCTGACATTTTACTCCACATTTCGGAATCTAAAGGTACGAGTGAGGTTTGGAAAATTTTCAAAACTGGACGAGCCTTTAGGCGAGTTTAATTTGAGAACTTTCAAAACATCACGAGTATCTATAAATTCCGAATTGTACGAGAAGATCGTGCGATTTTTTGTGTACTGGATACACGCAACAAAATTGAGCAACTTAGTTGGGACTGTATGCAGAGACCAATTGGGCATTTAATTGTACTCCTCTTGTCCAATCAGAATCGAGTAATTTTGTTGAGTGAATTATAAGTTGGTAAAGCTAACTAATTATCTAAAATGCACGAGAAAGGGGAACAAGAAGTAGAAGAAGTGGAAGAAGGAGAAGAAGGAGAAGAAGGAGAAGAAGGAGAAGAAGAAGAAAAAGAAGAAAGTTTTCGTTGCCAAAAATAGTGAAGAAA